TCGATTAATCGAATCGGATCGCATCGTGGTGTATTCTTGAGTATAGAAAATAATCAAATCGTTGGGTCAGGAAATCGATACTGAATCGAATCACCATGATGGATGTAATTTACACCCCTAATGTACATTATGATACCTCCAGGTTTTTGTTTAGGTTAATTTAGGCATTTTGTTCAGGTGAAGTGGGCATCTTAAAATCAAATAAGTTATACCAGGACATATGGGAACTATCTCAAGTGCATTGTGACAGCAAAGGGTTTTGCTCAAAGAGTAAATGTTTCATACATTTCTAACATTTCACACGTGCTGTTTTCACCAAATGGGCAACATTTCATTTATTTTCTGTAAATCCAAGGCTATGGTTTTAATTGTACAGCTATTATGACTAATTCAACTGACCATAGGGAAAGATTATTGTTTGGTGATTCACTAGCCCAGGTTTTAGCAACCTTCAGTACTCGAAGATCCACTTGGACCAACTTTCCAGTGAAAAAAACAGAGGAAATAGTCAATTCTATCTGACATCTGAAATAATGATAATGCTGTTTTACTTGTGAAATGTATTAAGTGCAGAGAAAACAGCATTTTGCCTAGCAGCAAGACGGAAGGAACAACATGGACATTCAACAGATTCCAGAGACTCTTGAAAATAAGGCAGGTTAGGGAAATAGGCTGTTAAAAAAATAAGCTGTTACAAAGAGTATTTACAACCTGCTACAGCAGGTTGTAGCAAGCTGCTGCTGATCAAACTGTGCTGTGTAGTAACTTCTAAATATTTATTACTTTATTTACTTTAGATTCTCATGACAGTTTTATTGTCTCAAACTGATAAAGTTATTTTACTGCTGTATTTATCCACACAGGAATAAAAAAAAAAAATTATCTTGACTTGACCCACAGTCAACCTGCAGGATCTCTGAGTTTCAGTCTAATCTGCATTCTGATCATATTAGTAGCCTTCTTATACTGGTTTTACTAATAAAACCAGTATGGCCCTGTATGTCTAGCCTATTTTTGTCAATTAAGGGGTTAAAACAGAGGTTTGTCTGAAGTTTGAATCTCACATTAGAGCAGTTATAAAATCCAGCTTCTTCCACTTGAGGCAGCTACCTAAGTTTAGATCTATCCTTTCAAGTCAGCATTTTTACTTAGAAGCCTTGCTGAGATGAAAGGAAAGGAAGGACGTTTGAAAGGAAGTTTCCCCCTAGGTTAGATAAGGGAGAAACAACTCAAGATTCTCACGTCCA